TTTATTTCCTCAGAGGGGAGTCGGGGCACCCCTTAAGTTGCACCCGTCCCAGGCGCGGCGTGTTGGCACGAGAAGGGGGTTGTCAGGACGCTGCCGTCACGCTGATCCGAGGCGTTGAAGTCCCTGGCATGGTGTTTCGGTGCGACGGTGGAATCTGAGACGTTTGTCTTCTAATCGGCCACTTCCCATGATGAAACAAGTTCTTGTAGGAACCTGTGAAGAGAGAGTCTCGATGGAGGCTTTATTGCAACATCTTTGATACGTTTTGCGTTTACACTGATCCTCCTCTACACTGGTCCTGCCGCTGCGGGCCACACGCGGTCTTGCTCCGCGTAGCCCTTCCGCGCGCCGAAGGCGCGCCCAGATTTGTACCGAGCACGCACGTCAGTACCTAGCCTCAGGAAACGGCCTCTGAGCCCACCACCCTGGCGTAGTGGGCCCCGGATGCCGCCCCGGACTCGTGTACATTACACTGGTCCTCCTCCTCCTCCTCCTCCTCCTCCTCCTCCTCCTCCTCCTCCTCCTCCTCCTCCTCCTCCCGCCCCCCTCGACAGGACCGCCTGGGCCGCTCGATTCCGCACCTCCGCCTGGCGAGGCATGCGAGGGATTTCGCGACCCCGGCGTGAAGACGGCGAGAGAGTCCGACTGTCGCCCGGCGCGTCTGCCTTTCGGAGGTGGACAGACCTCCCACCCTGACGCGTCGATTGAGGAATTGGCCGTCTTCCGTTCGCGAGCGGGCGTCGCGGCCGTCGTTTTCGCGGGTCCAGGTCCGTCGGTCTCGGTCCCAGGCCGTCTTCACTACGGGGAGGTTGTTACGAAAGGCAGGTTTGTCCACCGCCGAGCCGTTCGCTGGTGTTGCGTACCCTGACTCCCTTGCGCGGCTCAAGACACAGTGGCGCCTCTTCCAGGACCGCAAAGCAGCGGCTCGGGATGAAAAGACGTCCCCGGGGAATGGGCCCAACGCTGTAAAGCAACCGCGACGTGGGGGGGTTGGGTGATACGGTGGGGGGCGTTTCCCTGGCGCGCCGCTCCGCCAGTGGGCCACCGCGTTTCGGCGCGGAACGCCAGCCATGTTCCAGTCCTCAAGCGTCAGCGTCCCGAGCCTTTGCCAGCCTCCCGCCCCGCGGAGTTGAGCGACGTGCTCTCCGCTTGCAGGGCGTGGCGTGTCGCCAGGGCCGCTGCCTCCACACGCCGAGCAAAAGTCCCTGACCGTATCATCTTACATGTTATGCCGTGTTGTGCTACTGGCGCGCTGCGCTACCAGGACGATTCCAACTCGATTCGATTTTGATAAATTCCGATTCGATTCGATTTCGGAATCCGATTTTGATTTCGGTGTCTCAGGGGAGGCCTTACTAGCCTGCTGATTCGCCTCCTCTTCTTCTTCTTCCTCCCCGCCATCCCTCTACTCCCCATCCCCTTCCTCTTCCTCCTCCTCCTCCTCCTCCTCCTCCTGCTACTCCTCATCCTCCTCCCCCTCCTCCCCCTCCTCCTCCTCCCCTCCTCCTCCTCCTCCTCCTCCTCCTCCTCCTCCTCCTCCTCCTCCTCCTCCTCCCCTTCCTCTTCCTTCCCCTGTCTTCCTCTCTCTCTTTCTCTCTTCCTCCTCCTCCTCCTCCTCCCCTTCCTCTCTCTCTTTCTCTCTGTCTTCCCGCCTGCGCTCGCCGACGGTGCGCCCCGGCCTGCTGCTGCCTCCCCTCTTCTTGATCCCTCGGCCTCCCCGGGGGGGTGGAGGCTGCAGCCGCACGGGCGCGGCGCCGTTCGGTCGCGTTTGCCTCCCACCTCCCCTCGGCCACGCGCAGAGGGGGGCAGGGGGAGGGGGGAAGGTCTCTCAGAAGCACCCCCGCTTCCCAGAAGGCGCGGGCCTCGTCTGCGGCTGCGAGGCGGGCGCCTCCTGAGAGGCGGCCTCCTTCTGAGAAGCCTTCCCCCCTCCCGCATACCCCCTTGCTCGCTCCGCCGTTCCCCTCTCCTCGCCGCCCTCGGCGCCGCCGCCCGGGCGACGCGTGGGGCGGCGGCGGGGAGTCTGCGGCGGCGGCGCGCTTCCACGCAGCGAGCCCCGCGGGCCCTGCGCCGTTGCCGAGGGTCCTCGCCGCCGTCCTCGTCTTATGGTGTTCCAACCTGCTTCAGCCGCCTTGATCACCAGGAAGAATTTCGAGCACCAGCGGGGCAGCGAAACTGGAGGGTTCTCACGTCGGGCCCTGGGAGGCGATGCTCGTTCGACGATGTTTCGATGTCTTTTTCTGGTTGCTCGACCTTATTCCTGGGATGTGGTTCGCAAGTGCGATGGGAACATCATAGTTCTCGTCCTTCGTGTGTCCTCGGCGCCTGAATTCATGGGCCACGCGGCGTGCCTGGACATGATCGCGTTGAAAAACCAGGCGGTAGGCTGTTGGGCCTTTTCGGCCTCTGGAGGCCCCAAACGGACGCGTGCCAGAGGCATGTTCGATGCCCTGCCCAGCGCACATATGTTCACACGTGAAGAGCCCGCTGGCCGCACGCTCGAACCGCACACCTGGCGCCTGCACGCGTCACAACACATGCCAAATGCGCGCGTGCTAGACGGCATTTTCACATGTGAGGGATCCAGAGGCTGCATTTCTGATTTTCCCTTAAGCGCCCACCCGCGTCGAAGCAAGTGCTAAACGCACGCGTGCCAGACGCATGTTCGATACCCTCCTTGGCGCTTACAGGCATTGAAGATACCTGCTCAATTTACACATGCGAGACGCTTGATCTCTCTCCTGCCTCGGCGCACCGTTTTTGACACGTGAAGAGTCCGACGACAGCATGTTCGAACCGCACTTGGGCGCCTACACGCGACAAAACACATACCACATGCGCACGTGCCAGACGCATGTTCGATAACTACCCCGCCGCACACGTAGTCGTTACGTGCGAAGCTCATCCATCCGCCGCATGTTCGATCGCCCCCCTTTGGCGCCTGCGCGCATGAAAAGACAAGCTAAACGCCCGCGCACCATACGTATACTCGATATCCTGCCTCAGCACAAGTGTTCATAACTTTGCACCATCAGCCGACCGCAAGTTTGAGCGCCTCCTTGGCGCCTACATGCATGACAAGGCGGACCAAATGCCCGCGGTCCTTTCGTATGTTCGATACCCATCCTCTGCGCACGTATCTCAGCATGTGAAGACCCCGCTGACCGCATGTTCGGTAGCCCCCCTTGGCGCCTACAGGCGTGACATCACGTGCCAACTTTGCGAGTGCCAGACGCAGGTTCGATATCCTTCGTCCGCGAACGCATCTGCGGGCTCCCTGCTCGATACCCGCATACTCGATGCCTCCGTCTGCGCGCGTGTTTTCCGAGGCGGGGGTGTGACCCATCAGCACCGCCTGGTGCAGCGATCTCCGGGGACCTGGGCAGGCGGTGAGCATGGACAGATCCCCGCATCGCACATCTGCTCTTGCTTCTCTCAGGAGGGAACAAAAACACACAGACACAATTAATCGACGATTCCCCAGAAAATATGGGAAAATATGGGAAGTGGGGGGCAAGACAAGAATCCAGAAAATATGGGAAAATATGGGAAGTCCTTTTATGTGTGTGTATTTACTTGTGTGTCCCAGGGCCCCTTCATTCTCATGCGCTGGCCCTGGTTTCGAGGCTCCCCGCTGGCGCGCCCGCACGCGCGAGATGACGGGCAGCTCCCGCGCCCGCCGCGGGCCGCGCCCCCCGGCCCCGCGCGCGCGCGAGGGATCGCCTGCCAGGTACACGCGCGCCAGACGCACGTTCGACAACTGCGCCCGTCGGGCGCGCCTGTGAAAGTCCGCTCGCCGCGGGCTCGATGCACTGGCCCCCGCCCCTTGGCGACCACGCGCGTGAAAACATTTGCCAAGCGCCCGCGTGCTGGCTGCATGGTCGATAACCCCTCTGCGTGCGCGCACTTTGGCATGAGAAGAGTCCACCAGCTGCACGTCGGATACCCCTCACTTGGCGCCTGCATGCTTAAAAACAGGAGTCAAATGCCCTCGTGTCTGACGCACGCTACATGCCACCCCGCTGCGGAGTTCTTCCTTCATGCGAAAAGTCCGCTGGCCCTGTGTTCGAGCCCTCCCCATTTGGCGCCTGCACCCGTCAAAACGCATGCCCATCGCACTTGTGTCAGACGCGTGTTTGATAATTCCCCTCTAGGCATGCATCCTCACATGTACGTGGGAAGGACCCGCGGGCCCCATGTCCGATCCCCCCCCTTGGCGCCCAGGCTTGTGAAAACAACTGCCCGCGTGCCTGACGCATGTTCGATCCCCTCCTCCACGCATGCGAAGAAGCCGACGGTCGCATATTCGACCCTACATTTGGCGTTTGCAAGGGTAAGAAACCTGCAACTATCCACGTGCCACACGCATGCTCGATAACGCCAGCTCCTCGCACCGGGTCTCTGCGCTTGAAGAATCCACCGGCCGCATGCTCGATCTCAAAAGGGGGGGAACGGGCGAAGCGCACCTTGAAAGACGAGCCCCTCCGCCTCCTCCTCCTCCTCCTCCTCCTCCTCCTCCTCCTCCCGCTCCTCCTCCTCCTCCTCCTCCTCCTCCTCCTCCTCCTCCTCCTCCTCCTCCTCCTCCTCCTCCTCCCTCCTCTCTCCTCCCCTCCTCCTCCTCCTCCTCCTCCTCCTCCTCTCCTCCTCCTCCTCCTCCTCCTCCTCCTCCTCCTCCTCCTCCTCCTCCCCCTCCCCCTCCCCCTCCCCCTCCTCGTCCTCCTCCTCCCCTCTCCTCCTCCTCCTCCTCCTCCTCCTCCTCCTCCTCCTCCTCCTCCCCTCCTCCTCCTCCTCCTCCCTCTCCTCCCCCTCCCCCTCCTCCTCCTCCTCCTCCTCCTCCTCCTCCTTCTCCTCCTCCTCCTCCTCCTCCTCCTCCTCCTCCTCCTCCTTCCTCTCCTCCTCCTCCTCCTCCGCCCCTCCTCCTCCTCCTCCTCCTCCTCCTCCTCCTCCTCCTCCTCCTCCTCCTCCGCAAGAGAGGAGCAAGAGAGAGAGAGCCGGCCCGCCAG